CAGAGTTCTCATATCGGCATGGTGGCTGTCGCAGGGAGCTTCGAGCACGTGAGCGCGGCCGCGAACGTGGGGAGCGTTCGTAGTTTGCGACACGCCGGCAGAGCTGCAAAGACCACAGCTGCGGAAAAGAAGCTGCTACTTCGAAGTTGAGAGTCTTGCAAATTGTTTTAACATAGTCGGGTCTGCAGCATTGGCGCGAGCTGCTGTGGCACCAACGCGAAGCAGGCCATGTGCAGCATTCCAACACTAGAGAATAAGGATACTGCGACGAGGCGAGCATTTATTTTTTCCGTGCAAGCTTAACTGAAGTACACATGTCGTCTAGTGCCCCATCGCGAGATGGGGTGGGAAGACTTTGTGAGCTGACGAATTCTCTCTGGCGAATGCATGGTCCTGCTGGCCTTGCTCCTTCGGCTGAGCTGAGCTGCTCATGCATTCGAAGACATGCGACACCCTCTCAGTGCCTCATGGTTCCGAAGCTGAGTTACAAACCTCCGAGGCGTCTCCTATACTGCACATCGACCCAAGAATCGCAACATGCAGTGACATGCAAGTGCAAGAGCCCCAGTGATGTTCTAAGGTTGTTCTGTGCTTGTGCGCGGGGGGCAGCCGACGCAAGTGCTGGAGTCCCCTTGAACTTCAAGATCGGGGAGCTTACCGAGGAGGACCCTGGGCCAATGTGGGTGAACTTAGGAGAGTACTGGAGTCTCAAGGTCATAGGTCAGCCTATGTCAGCCTTTTTTTTGGGATGCCAACGACTGCCTGCAGGATCCTTTAGACATGTTTTGGGTGCTTGTTATGGAACTTTAGAAATGCCAGGAATCGCAATCAGATGTGTGCCTTGGCAGCACTCGGATTTAAATGCATCGTGCCCAGCCTCGGCTTGCGTATCGTTCAGCGAGTCTCACCAAGGATCCCGGGGCAATTCCGCTGTGCGGCTTGCAAGGCAGTGATCTTCCAGATACAGCGCAGATTGGAGCCTCTCCACGCTCTTGATATCAAAGTCCAATCTCCAACGTTTCAATAGCCTGGGTATTCAGAGTTGAAGCCGTGGTCAGGATGACGGAAAGCGTTGAATCCGCGGGGTTCACCAAGGACAGATTAAACTTGGATCACCAAGCCAATCTGGATAAATCTGCTCGAGCCCAAGCATGCCGCCAAGGCACAGGTCGCAGCACATCAAGTTCTGCTCTTGTCCCAGAACTGTGAGACATATGCACCGTAAAGCGTTTGCACCGTTTCCCATTGCATTCCATCGCTCTTACTCTCTTCGAACACGTCTGCAGACGGGGGGCCCGAGAGCAGGACAGGCTATAAAACTGTAGTACCCTCTGCACTTGACGAGGCACGCCGTGAACAAGCGGTGCGCGTTGCCGAGATGCTGGAAGAAGCGGCTCGCTCGCAAGAGCACAGAGGCACTGAAGGAGGAAATGATGGACTCGGGCCAAGGGTGTTCTTCTTCGCAACAGTCAACGTACGTTCACATTCTGTGCCACTGTGTCATTCATTGTGCATGGGATGGTGAATCCAGGCTTGTAGCGACGAGACTTACAATGACTACGGACTCTTGCTTGCATATATGCATCAGCAGGCTGCCAAAATAGGAAGAGCAAGTGCTCCTGAAGCTGCGAAGGCATCAAAGAGCCAGCAAGAGGAGGAGGAGGCGCGGGAGACTTGCACATGCATTCACAGGCACAATGCCGGACTGGCAGAGCATTAATTACGTCAAGCAAGCATTTGGCTGCTGGTGGGTTCTAGCCTAGCCTAGACGACGGGTACAATCACCGTCGTTTTTCTGGAGCTTGTGTCCATCGCGTCTGGCAGGCAAAGTCCTCAGTGGGCCTGGCATCGATACCAACGATGCTCTCGCCTTGCTGTGATGCCCACACACGCGAAAGGATAGCGCCCGATTGTTCCTTGCCCGAGGCAGGCGTCCTCCAGGGTGGTGGGAAGTGGCCCAAGCGAATGGGAGGCTATTGCCGAAGTCTGGTGGAGGACGAGCCTTCGGAATGCGCAACTGAGCGTCGCCTTCTTCGGAAGTGCGACCCCAATCTTGCAGGAAGAGGACTTAGCGGCTCATCTGGATGGCAGCTTGGAGAGGCCAGTGTCGCTGTCGGTCTTTGCACGACTTCTTGAACTTGCCTCACCACTCCTTGCCTTCTTGTTCCACGTTCTCTCGTGCCGTGGTTTCTTGATGGGCAGGCTTTGTGAGAGGGACTGTCTCGCGAAGAGCGACGAAAAGCCTCCCAGAAAGCGGTCCAACAAGCCACGGTGCGCTGGCTCAGTATTACATGCTGTTCTACTTTGTTGTTTGGCCATTAGTGTGCCGGTGATGGTAGCTTAGCCGTGGTAGGGTAATGGCAGTCACGGCCGTAGTCGTAGCAGACGTACTCGTGGTATCTCGTAGTGTTCGCAGACCTTAGGCCCTTAGTAGTAGTCGTCGTCGCCGCAGAACCAGCTGTGGTAGTAGAGTACTACTACTACTACTA